AGGGGAGAAAAGGGAGGGAGGGGTTCCAGGGGCTCCTGTATTCCTTGGTTTGGAGCTGTCTCCTCTGCCTGCTGTGACACCTGAGCTCCTGGACTGCTCAGCCAGTGGCACATCCAGATCTACCTGTCCACTTACCCACTACTGAGCTAAAAACACAGTTTGATGGTATGGCCTATGAATCTAATAAAAATGAATTTTGTTACTAATAAATAATCTATACTGAAGAGTAGGTGTGTATGTGTGTGGCGTGTGCGTGCGTGCATGCATTTGTGTGTGCACATGTGTGTTTGTGCGACTGCCTTATGAACACTGAATCCACGTGCTCCACAGAGTTTTATAGACATTCCTCACATTAATCACAACCAGGCAGATTCAAGAAGCTGACCCGAGAGCAATAGAAAACAACCTGTTGAATTGCCGGCACTTCTATGTATGCCCAGAGTACCAGAAAGGAACACTGGGGCCAGACTGGAACACTTACTATCTAATGGCAGGGAAATGGGTGGAAATGTGCTCACTTCGGATGCACACATGCAGACTTTAGACATATTTATCCAGAAACACATTTTGAAATTCATAAGACGGCACAGTCACGAAAGATAACAACTTGCAAAGGGATCAGGGTGCAAATGGAGGATGTCCAACGTCTCAGAAGTACAGGATCCAGTGAAAGTGGTTTGTTACTGATTTGGAATTCAGCTTGAAAAGGAAATGGAATTATGACAATTATAATATTGTGAGCAAAATTACCATTTTAAGCAGGATAAATTATACAGCAACATATCAAACTACCTAATCCATATCAGAAAATAGAACAGAGCCCAGCTCTAATCTGGCTTAAAATAGAATTATTTAGCTATCTAATTTTCAGCAAATTGCATCCAGTTTGACATTGTAAAGCCCAAATAAAAGGATTAAAATAAGCATAACCTGGTTATCCTTCTATTATCTCAGAAAGTACTAAAAAATACATATTATTTCAACAACAACAACAAAAATCTGAACGCTTACCTTTGGTGGAATTTACCCAGCACCCTCTCATCCAATTGTGATTACATATTGAAAATTAAGTGCCTGTGACAAGTCACCTGCACAGAGAATTTTTGCCTTTGGCGTTGACAAAACTTTGAATAGTAGTGTGACCATGATCTCAGAGTTAAACCTTAGTCTTTAGTTGATAGAACCTGTGAATATTACTTGCTCTGTTTTGTACCTTCTGTGTGTAATAAAAATATAGCAAAAGTGTTAATACCTATGGAATTTATTGAACATTCTAAAGAACCTTTTATATTGTCCCTATGTTTCTAGACAGTCCGATGGCATGGTAATTTTGGAGAGCATTGTGTGCACGATTACTGCAGTAGATTTTAAGTATAAAAGGTAATGGAGTAAGGCAGATAGAAATCTTGGTTGCATTTCTGTTAGTGGTGCCCTTAGACACTCTCAAGAAAACAGAGACAGAAATCCTGAGTTGGTTGAGTTCTGCCAGAGCATCACAAAACAGCAAGCCAAGTCTGTGAAAAGGAAAGAAAATGGCACACAACTATTGGGTTTAGCTACTAGATAACTAAACTAGAATTTGGTTTAGCTATTAAAAACAGCACTTAAATAATGTCCTATGTCATGCAGTTACAATACTTCAAAATAGCCCTATGGGACTGATATTTTATCATAGTCCCTTTAAAAATAAGGAAGCAAGTTTCAAAAACATTCTGGTATCTTGTATAATCATTGGTAGGACTAAGATTTCTACTCAGCTCAACCCAGAGCCCCAAATTGTGAGCAACCACAGCTTATGCTGCCAACTGCCTCAGTCCCTTGGGCTAGAGTTCTCTTGGTCATTTTGAGGGACGGGCTGTGTGGGTCACTGTGGGTTACTGAGGCAGGGTGTAGAAAACCGTTGTTCCTGGAATGAATAATTAGGAAAATGAGGCAGGATGATTTCCACGTGATACCAAAGCAGCTAATTGCTTTTACCAATTCTAACTGTGGCTCGATCCATGGGAATGGGCTCTGGGAGTAGAGTTAATCAAAAGAATTATTTGACTAAACTGGCAACTGCTTAACTCCTGGATTAGATAATCGATCAGGCAATGCCACGCTTATCCAGTTGTATGGGAAGATCCGTAATACCCAATAAAATCCTCCCAAGGTGAAAAACATCACATATATTTTTCTTCAAGAAATGGCAATAACGTCTTGTATTCCGGATAAGCATTATTACTTAGAGTAACTGGAGGAGCACGCTTACTGGTAGAACAGCTGTGCCCTGAGAATCCAAATCCCAAAACTGACAACCAAGGGGACACATATGTATGTTCAGATGCTAGATATACAATCCAAAGCCTAGAAATTACATTTAAGAAAGCTTTGCAAGAACAATTTTTCATTTTTTCTTTTGTAATTCACTTTGGAGTTTTGATTTGTCATGCTGTTTCATACTCAATAATATTATATCTCTATTTTCAACTTGCCAAAATCTCATGATTTCTACACGTTTACATGAAAGCAATTTTTCTTAAATAATATTTATAAGAATCTTGTGAAAATTTTTGTGCATTCCTCATCTTATTTAGATTGAAAGTACTCTTCCATAAATTGGAGAAAGGCTTCCTGAAGGAGTTTGACTCCAGCATCCAAGGAACTGGAGTTGCTTTGGGAAGATGCCAAATTCATTTCTTACTTCAGCCAGGGGCACTGAATCAGAATTTAGGAAACAGGCCACGGGAAGCTACATTGTAACAACACAACCTCCATTGAGGCTTCTGGCACAAATAAAATTTGAGCACCCTGGCCGGGCAGTCATTTTCCTTGTTACTTATGGTTGCAAGTTTAAGTAGATACAAATGACACTCTCTTAGGGTCTAAGGCAGTCAAGCTTCCCATAATGTCTGTTTCTTGATGAAATTTCCAGTGATACTTCAAAGGAAACATTGTTTAACACAGTTTCCCAAACCTCTGAAAACAGAGGAGGGGAGAGGCAGTATAGTGATGCAATGCACCATTTGCCCTTACAGGAGGAGCTGGTTAACTCTACCATGATTACTCGTGTGAACTACCTAACACATATATGTCTTTTCTGAGTATTAAAGAAGACATATCTTCTGGCTATTCTATTGCAACCTGATCACCGAGATCACCCTAACAGCATTATCCTGGTAAGATATTTTTTGTGAGACGTCAGTTGAAATACCTGTCTACCTTCTCAACCTCCCTGTTTGTCCCGTTAGGAAATAAGGGGCCCTTTTCTGAGTTGTAACCACAGGAAATGTTCCAGAATCACTTTATGGTTTGGGTATTAATAGAAAGCAACATGAGACACCAAAAAGGGGAGAAGTCATAATTACAAGATAATTGTGGTCACCTCTGCTATATTCCCATTTTGTTTCACATAAGAAACTTCTGGAGTGAGCACTTGATTTTTAAGTGCAGACGTCTGAGCTTGAACCCCAAACTTACTTCCTCAAAATTTCCAAGGATATTATCTGATATTTGCTTATGATCTGGGAGATTCTGAGAAGAGCTTGCTGACAAGAATAAGATAAGGTTCAGAGAAAGAAAAATGACCTGCGCAGTGCTGTAGGTATAAATTAGGAATTGAACAGGAGAACCTGACTCAGATGAAATCGTTCACATGCTGCAGAAGTGTGGTTTGACATTTGATAACAAGACTCATGACGTTGGTTTAAAATTCATGTGCATAGAAGGGAGACTTGAAGCTCTGGTAGTGGATATTATGAGGGAGAAGAGGCAGGAATTAAGGAAGGCCATGAATATATAGAAGTAATTTACTTAAATGTTTTAAAACGATGTGGGGGCTGGGCACAGTGGCTCACGCCTGTAATCCCAGCACTTTGGGAGGCCGAGGCGGGTGGATCACGAGGTCAGGAGATCGAGACCATCCTGGCTAATACAGTGAAACCCTGTCTCTACTAAAAATACAAAAAATTTCCCGGCATGGTGGCGGCGCCTGTAGTCCCAGCTACTCAGGAGGCTGAGGCAGGAGAATGGCATGAACCCAGGAAGCGGAGCTTGCAGTGAGCCGAGATCACGCCACTCACTCCAGCCTGGGCAACAGAGTGAGACTCCGTCTCAAAAAAACCAAAAACCAAAAAACAAAACACAAAACAAAACAAAACAAAACAAAAAGATGTGGGGTTGAAAGCTAGATAGTAAAATTTTCTCAGATTCTGCAAATTGCTCGAAAATGATGTAAGCCCTAGAAAGAACTCCTATCAGGGGCATCATCATTCCAAATGTTGACCATGTCAGGGGACGCATGGCCACTCACATCACTCTCCTCCCCATTTCTCACTTCGCATCTGTTACTATTCAGAGGTTATAAAATTTATCAGAGGCAACCCTGGCGCATTACTCAAATGTAATCTATAACAAATTATTCTGAAGCATACCTACATCTATTCTAAAAAGCAAGGGATAACATTTTTTATGCCTGTTGGATTTGAGATAAAGTTTCTTTTCTCCTCTTCCAGATCCTCTTTAAACCCTCATGCTATGCAATATCAAATTTTTAAAAGATTTACATCAGTTTAAAGATATTTCATAATTTATTTTTCATTTCAATCTTCTTTAAATAGTTTGTTTAGGTTTACAGATCCCAAATATGAATTTAGACAATTTGGTTTCATTGAAGTTTTTTCCCAAATTATTCTCTCGCACAATAGTTTATAAATAAATAAATAAGAAAATATACTAAATGATACCCTTCTCAGAAATGATAAAATAGTAACATTGGAAAAATAAGTTAAGAAAATATTTATACCAATTTTATTTTATTCATAGAATGTTTCCAATTAGTTTTGAGAGGAAGGTGGCAAACATTTGGAAGAATAATACAAAATACAACTAGGTGATTTTATTATTTGTTTCACATTTTTTTGTTGTTGTTATCACATGCCAAGCCCTGCACTAATCTTCTAGCCAGAATTTTTATGTATTTATTTATTTATTCATTTATTTATTGAGACAGAGTCTTGCTCTGTCACCAGGCTGGAGCACAGTGGGGCGATCTTGGCTCACTGCAACCTCCACCTCTCGGGTTCACGCCATTCTCCTGCCTCAGTCTCCCAAGTAGTTGGGATTACAAGCAAGTGCCACCATGCCCAGCTAATTTTTGTATTTTCAGTAGAGACAGGGTTTCATCGTGTTGGCCAGGATGATTTCAATCTCCTGACCTCGTGATCTGCCTGCCTTGGCCTGCCAATAGCCAGAATTATTTAATTAACCCTCACCATAACCTTATGTAGCTATTTCAGGTATAGAAATGAGGAAGCTGGGGTTCTTAAATGAACTCATTTAAGAAAACCACACCTCCTTCAGGGATCGCTGCAGTTTGCCTCAGATTTCTCTCATTCTCTGATGTTCATGACTACAATAATTTGCCCAACACGGCTGTGGTCCTTAAGAGCACTGCGGCCGTGGAAACTATCCAGGGTTACACATATCTCTGAAATAATTCTTAACCCCTGACTCCAAAGATTAGTTCAACAAGTTCATGTCTCCAGATCTCCATGGCAAGGACGATGGGCCCAACTTGGGGGAACAGTGGAGCCAATGTTGTTGAAAGTGATTCACAGCTCTCCGTTTCATTTAGCCCTAGCAGAATCACTGCCTTATGCTCAGAGAGATGATGATTGAAAAAAACAAAACTAGCAAACTAAGAAACCTGGGAGAAGTAAGGGGCTCCTATAATAATCCTTCCACAGAGTCTCTCCCTTCCTCGACCACCACCAGACCTGGCCTCCTACAGATAACTGGGCGGTGATGGACTCCACAGGCCGCCCCCGTCGAGCTGCTCTTCCACGGTCCTCCTCTTTCGTGGTGGAACGGTCATGTTGGTTGACTGCATTTCCCATGTCCGGCGCCTGACTGACCTGCCGGGCCGTCATTCCGACTGTTTATTCCCCGGCCACTCTCTGCTGAGCAAGTCCACCCTGACTGCTCACTCCTCCTGCTACTGCCATCCTGAGCACAGATTCTAAAAGCAGAAGCTTTGAATAAAGAGTGTGATCTTCTTCCAGGGCAGTGATTTCTATTTATGGTTGTATTCATTCATTCATCATTCAGCTACTATTTAGTACAGAAGTACCCAGCTACTCTGCCCTAGGACATTTATTGAGTACCTAACTTGGTCTACCTAGAGTGAGTGCTGTAGAGAAAATCACAGGTAAGGGAGACCCAAATAAATGAACTAAAATACGAAAGAGGCGGACAGGGAAAGGCGTGAGAGAGGATCAAAATTTCACAAAGACCCTGCATTTCTGAAGAGAGGCCAGAAAAAGTTACTATAATAGTATACATAAAAATTAAATTTATGAATTTATTTAAGGTGAATAACCTGAATGTTAATAACTAGATATTAAAAAACAACTTATTTATTAACCTGGAAACAATGTAATATATAATACAAATGTATAAAACCATACTATGTCTTGAAATTTGTTTTATATTTATTTTAAAAGGAGTTATAACCTTTAAAAAAAACCTTCGAAATTATCCAGAAGAAACAATAACCATTATTGACTTCCAGAGACAGATTAGAAAAAGCGTTATGATAAATAAAGAGAGTGATAATTGAATTAGGGATGCTACATTTTGCACTCTGTGTGCCTACGATATCATCATTCGGCCAATTTAATTTGCCTTGAAAAGAGTTGCATGGTTCAGTTGATTTTTCAAATAAGTTTCCCACTCTCAAAGTTACTCTGCGAAAGCTTTATTTAAATCTGTATGCCACTTTCAATTACAGATACACTTATGTCAACAGAATAAGGCATTTTATTCTGCTTAATTCTTTCCGAGATGGAAATGAAAAAAATGAACTTTTAGGAATGGACAGTGTTTTCACTTACCATAGCCGACGGGTAAAGAGATCCTCCAGGTGCAGTCTAAGTTGTTGGGGTAGGAACCTGGGAAGCCGGGGCTCAGGATTACACCGCCCAAAGTGTTCAGCGTCCCTCCACAGGTGGCTGTAAGTGGACAAGATGTCAGTCCTGCGGGTCCTCACTTCCTCCCTGGAATCTTTGCTCCAACCTGCTTCACTCAACTATGCTGAGAAACAGCAAGTCTTCGGAGTTGAATTCTGCCCCTAATTACAGCCCACAATACAGTGCTGTGTGCCTTAGTTACTTATGAGCTGTGCTCTCCCTCTTGACAGTGAACTGCTTTAGAATAAAGACCGTTTTTCAAGATCCATCTTCTCCTCGTACTCAAAGGCTCCCAGTAAAGATTAGTCCATTTAATGTCTGCATTGCAGTCAGGCATCAAATAGACTTCAGTTTATTAGCTGCAATTCATTGAGAGGTAGTATTAGTCCCTATTTATTGATTGCTAACTATGTGGTACTTACTGTAGCTAGATACACATTACACAGATTAACTCACATAACACCCTGAAAGGATGACCATTCCCCTCTTACACACAAAGAAACCAGGCCTGGAAAAGATTAAGAAATTTGCCTAAAGTGACATGCCTTGTAAACAGTACAATCAGAAGGTCATTCCAGCTGTGTCTGCTTCCAGAACCCGTTTCAGCCAGGACACATGACTGTCAGATAGCTTTTCAATTTTGGAATGTAGCTAACTGCAACCACTTTCTCCCCAGGAAATCTTATGCTGTGAGAGAGGGTGAAATAAGTTCATGCATCTTGCCTTATCTTGGCGACTCACATGTTTTGCTACCGTATCTGAGGTTTGACTATAAAGAAACACAACTGATTTTACAACAAACGTGCCCAGTGATATAAGTTGAAGCATTTGAAATTCCAACCTTTGACCATTTGTAACCTATTAAAATAATTTCTTATATTCCAAAATTATGCAAATAATGCCTCTTCTTTTCAGGAAGCCCAAAGGAAATGGCTTTATTCTAACAATGCTCTCATTATGCAAAATATTTTAAACAAAATATTTTCTGGAAGCCCTCTTTTAGAGGCCCCCTAGGACCGGTAGTGAAGCCTTTTTGTTTTTTAATCATCATCAAGGCTGAAACACTTTATTTGTAATTTAATATAAGAAATAGTTAAAACTCAAGTCTAGTGACTATGGTGATTGCTCAAGCCAGGGCACCATATTCTGGATTTCAAACATTGTATAAGTTGAAAAATGTGAGTTACAAACATTTAAAAATGTATTTTTGTGGTGTGAGTCATAATTCTGGAAAAGTCTTGGATACCATCAACTGTGTTGCTATTTAAAGTATAACCTCTCAAGGCGATTTCTTTGTGGGAGAGACCAGGCATTTGCAAGGCCAGGCTCCCGTCTGCACTTTGTCCATGCAGCTGCTGACTGTGCTGAAGACACACCAGTGAATCTGAGTGGCATGCCTAAATATGTTTAGCAGTAATACCCTTTCCCTGAGGGCTCATGTGACCTGCAGTGACAGTAGATATGCATATTCAACTGTCAGAGGTGTTAAACCAGAACAACTCCACCTTGAATAGGAGTTCGATAAAATAAGGCTGAAACCTACTGGGCTGCATTCCCAGATGGTTAAGGCTTTCTAAGTCACAGCATGAGATAGAAGGTCAGTGCAAAATACAGGTCATAAAGACCTTGCTGACAAAACAGGTTGCAGTAAAGAAGCCGGCTAAAACCCACCAAAGCCAAGGTGGCCATGAGAGTGACCTCTGATCGTCCTCACTGCTACACTCCCACCAGTGCCAAGACAGTTTACAAATGCCATGGCAATGTCGGGAAGTTACCCTAAATGGTCTAAAAAGGGGAGGCATGAATAACCCACCCCTTGTTTAGCATATCATCAAGAAATAACCATGAAAATGGACAACCAGCGGCCCTCGAGGCTGCTCTGTCTATGGAGTAGCCATTCTTTTGTTCCTTTACTTCCTTAATAAACTTTACTCTATGGACTCGCCTGGAATTCTTTCTTGCGCGAGATCCAAGAACCCTCTTTTGGGGTCTGAATTGTGACCCCCTTTCTTTAACACAACTACAGGGAAGACATGAATGAAAAAGGCCGAATCAATGACAAAAAAAAGGAAAACAACAGAACCAGTAAACGTGGTATTACTAAAAAGTTCCTTTTGATTTTAGCATGATTTCTGCACACACATGCAAATGTAAATCATAAAATACAAACACCTATATGTATCTTCAGCTGAGGACTGAGGCAGCCCTGCAGGAGGGGCTGGCCCAGGACCTGAACGTAGACGGCATCATCAATACAGATGCCTGTGTCCCACACAGACCAAATGTCTGTGTGATGCGAAACTGATCACGGGCCTGAACCCTGGGTTCATCTCCTACCAAACACGCAACAATCACCTAATTACTTGAGAGCTTAGTTAAAGCCACAATAATCCTTTGTTTTTGCTGTTGTTCATCTAGAAAACTACAAGTCAATAGATAAGCATAAAAACAGAGCTCCCAAAAGATGCATATCCACTTTTTCTTCCTTTGGGGCCTTTTTTTTTTAAGACAGTCTCACTCTGTCACCCAGGCTGGAGTGCAGTGGCACAATCTCAGCTCACTGCAACCTCCGCCTCCCGGGTTCAAGTGATTCTCTTGCCTCAGCCTCCCGAGTAGCTGGAATTACAGGCACCCGTGACTGCGAGTACACCTGGCCAATTTTTGTATTTTTAGTAGAGACGGGGTTTCACCATGTTGGCCAGGCTGGTCTCGAACTCCCGACCTCAGGAGATCTGCCTGCCTCAGCCTCCCAAAGTGCGGGGATTATGGGCCTGACCCACCATGCTCGGCCCTTTGTGACATTTTAAGGCAACTGGGCTTGCCACGTCTCAGATTGGTTCAGTGTCCATCTCAGTGTGGTCGTCACGTTGTGGACTGACTTCCTGCCTCCTGCCTGGGAAGCTCCCTCCATGCCAGACCCTTTCTTATAGGTAAATAGTGTATTTAGAGTTATTGGTAAATATGGTTTTTGTAAAGGGAAGGGAATTTATTTTTATGAAACGGCTAGAGACCTTATATTTTACTGGATTTATACATCTTATTTTGTATGGATTCCCGATTTGGAGGGGGAGAAAGAATGTATAGAATTGTTACTGAAGGACACAGACACACGGTGCTGAAGAGCTCTGTGGTGCAGTGAGACAGGGAGGTCCCAGGCCACCTGCTGTGACGAGAACCTCACTCAGTTGTAGGGCCCTAGAAATCCGCGAGACCATTCTGGGGCTTGTCACAAATATTCAACATAGTCAATACTGGTTAAACTCTGAGAACACTGCTTGATATGTTCACCTCTAGAGAAGTGGTTTTATATACAGTGTCTTCATTAGTACTAGTATTTCTCAAAATCAGGTCATGGGATTTCCAGGAGCTCATAAGTAAAATATTATCTCTCTTGAACTTCTCCTCCTAAAATTCCCCGGTTTGGCGTAATCTAAAGGTAACAGCTACAAAAAACCTTTCAATCTCTACAGTCGTTCTTTGAGCTTTATCATGGGTCATGTGTGAGTTTTTAAACAATGAAAAAACTTCTATACCCTGTAAAGAATTACGGAAGTTGACATAACTTCAACATGTCCTAATATTTACAATGTTAAATAAAAGAGAAAAGCCTATTATATTTTGCAAATATACGTTAATTATTTGAAAAAAAAAATCCCATTGTGTAATACAAAGTGACAGCAAAGGCATATTGTATGATTCAATGCCTGCTTAGAATTGATTTCATTGTGAAGTTTAAAAAATTTCAATTCCTGACATTAAGGGAAGGCTCTTCATTTAAAAATAAATAGGCAGATTGATGTTCTGTATGAATCAAAGGCAGTTTTAATTTTTTCCTTTTTAAAATTTTTTTATTTTTTCCTTCCAAATCAAGGCTGGGATTTTAAACGTCTCTACAAGTAGCTCTTTGTTTTTAGCTGACGTGTTAATCTAGACATTTATTTTTACCAAGAAATAGCTTTTAAAAACAAGACACTGGCCACTAAGGTATATTTTTCACTTGTAAGCAAATATGATATAGGGAAGATAACATAAACAGGCATTCTCTCCTGGATGAGACTATCATAAAGGCTGAAGTTTTGTTTGTTTTACAGGTTTCGTGCAGTTTTATTTTCCTCTACACAATTTCATCTGCATCCCATGCAAGGCAGTTAAATTGTGTATTACTAAAAACCATTGAATACCTACATTTATTTGAGATGTGGGGAAATTAGGCTGTCAGAAGAATGTGTAATAGACAGTAATTACCTGACTTTCCCTGTGGGTGTCCACGCCACACTATGTCGAAATGAATTCTAAACGGAATGTGAATAGCTCACAGGACAACTTGAAGGCTATTTTGTGGCCTTTAAAATGGCTAATGTTCATCCATATAGAGCTGACCACTTTCTCCTGACACACCATTTGGCAGTAGGGCATGCTTGAGGCTGACTGTCTGAGATAAGTGGGTTCTGAGCACACCCCCAGCAATACTTGAGTGTTGGAAGACTGTGGGGAACAATAAAGACAGCACCCCCAGAAGTGTGACTATTATAATGATCCCTGCTCTCTGATATTCATTCCCTAGCTATTCTTTAACTGAAATTCTTGAGTGTCTACCACGTGCTGAAGGTACAGAGGTGAGTGGTGCATGTCTCTGTCACCAAAGCCTTTGGGGATTGTAGAAGGGCAAATTAAAGAGCGATATCATTAGAGCTCTGCAGGAAGTAAAGTCAGGCACATGGTGGTGGCAGCCCAGGGTAGGGATGACTCACTGCACCTGCAGGTGGGGGCCCAGACAGCATTGAGGAGAGGACACTCTCTCCAGTGCAGAATTCGAGAGGGTGACTAAATCCTCCCATAAATATTTTAATGTAATATTTGGAAAAAATCAAAAGAAAGGCAGAAAATGTATGATGAACAAGACATGGCAAATTTAAATAAAGACAAGATCGGTACTGCCGATGTTTCCTTTTGTCTCTTTCCTGCGATAAAGCTGGAGTATGGTTAAATATGGGAGCTGTAGGTTAGGATCCCATGGAGATGATAATTTAGGAGGGGACTGTGCCATCTTAAAGATGGGGCATTGGTGCTAAGAATTGCAGGGGAGGACACACTCAGGTGGAAGGGGTGACAGAAGTGAGAAGTCACTTGGATTTAGGGAGTGAGGGAGAAATTTAAGGTAACACTCAGATTTGTTGTTTAGGGAAAAAAAAAGAAAAAGAAAAAGAAAAAAAGCAGGATACTGCTAATAGCATTCTCAGAGGAAGCAGATCCAGGATAACAACAATAGGTTTGGAGAAGCCAATCAGTATGTGGGTTGGGGGTACGGAGTGTTAAGTAACTAATGATGATCCTGCTGAGACAGTACCTGCAAAGCTGGATGGTCACTTGAGCTACAGGTAAAGATTTCTGAGTTGGGCTACAACAAATAGGTGATGGGTGAAGCTGGGGGCCTGAATGATGGGGAGCAAAGTCACCCTGACATCACCAACCTTTGTATTGAGGGACTTGTGATCATCACCTACAATGCCCCTGGAATCATTAAGCTCCCATCACATCATCTATGCTAACAGTTTAGCGAGTCTCAAGGCATTAAATACGGGTCTGGAAAGCTTTTTCCTAAAGAAGTCAGCGGATTGTGCCTCCGTGAACTCATCCACAAGATAGTCGCTGGGCTGTTTCCAACATGAAATACTCCATCTCTCCATGGGTAATCTGTCATTCTGAAGTTTGTTTCTGGGAACTTGTTTTTCTGAGGCTAAAGGTCTATACAGAAAACTACTCAGATTTTCAGACCAGCTGCACTCCTTCTTTGCCACAAATTAACAAACTGGCCTTCTGACACGAATGCCATTTTGGTGTAGGGCCTTGAGCAGGCAGTCCTGTCTCTGGTCTGTGCGGGCTGACCCAGGCACACTGAGAAGACGGAGTTGCTGCATTCTGTGGGGAAGGTGCAGGTTACACTCGTCATTCTGCTCTACTGAATTATGTGCTATTATTATATAACACATGTTTTCAAATGAAGAAATTTAGAAGTGCATCCTTTGACGCCCAAGAGTAGAGCAGGCATGTTCTTCCTAGTGTGTGCACAGCAGCAGAGTTACAGAAGGTGCATCCTTACCAATGCAGAGGGGAGACGGATAGTTCCAACGGCGAACAGTCCCTGGCATACAGGAAATGTGGGAACGGCCCTGTTTAAAAGGAAACAAAAGAAAATCCATATAACTAAAATCAGAGCGATGAAGGATTAAGTGTTTGAGAATATCTGCACTTTTTCCTTTCTTAATTATAAATATTTTAAAATGCAAAAATTGTGAAATCTGTTTTTACTAATGATTATTAGTGAGTCACATTTGCAACCAACATAGAAAAGTATCCATTTTCACCGTGTTTCTTTCTATTAAAAACAAAATCTTGCAATGTTCTTTTGACCAGACCATAATTCGACCCAGCTCCTTTCTTGATACTTAAAGAAGAGTATTGAATTGGGCAAAGTATGCGTTTTTTTAAAAAATTTTTTATTATACTTTAAGTTCTAGGGTACATGTGCACAACGTGTAGGTTTGTTACATATGTATACATGTGCCATGTTGGTGTGCTGCACCCATTAACTCATCATTTACATTAGGTATATCTCCTAATGCTATCCCTCCCCCCTTCCCCCATCCCATGACAGGCCCCGGTGTGTGATGTTCCCTTTCCTGTGTTCAAGTGTTCTCATTGTTCAATTCCCACCTATGAGTGAGAACATGTGGTATTTGGTTTTCTGTTCTCGTGATAGTTTGCTGAGAATGATGGAATAACAGACAAACAGAGCCAAATCATGAGTGAACTCCCATTCACAATTGCTTCAAAGAGAATAAAATACCTAGGAATCCAACTTACAAGGGATGTGAAGGACCTCTTCAAGAACTACAAATCACTGCTCAATGAAATAAAAGAGGACACAAACAAATGGAAAAACATTCCATGCTCATGGATAGGAAGAATCAATATTGTGAAAATGGCCATACGGCCCAAGATAATATATAGATTCAATGCCATCCCCATTAAGCTACCAATGACTTTCTTCACAGAATTGGAAAAAAACTACTCTAAAGTTCAAATGGAACCAAAAAAGAACCCGAATTGTCAAGACAATCCTAAGCCAAAAGAACAAAGCTGAAGGCATCACGCTACCTGACTTCCAACTATAATACAAGGCTACAGGAACCAAAACAGCATGGTACTGGTACCAAAACAGAGATATAGACCAATGGAACAGAACAGAGCCCTCAGAAATAATACCACACATCTACAATCATCTGATCTTTGACAAACCTGACAAAAACAAGAAATGGGGAAAGGATTCCTTATTTAATAAATCGTGCTGGGAAAACTGGCTAGCCATAAATAGAAAGTTGAAACTGGATCCCTTCCTTACATCTTATACAAAAATTAATTCAAGATGGATTAGAGACTTAAATGTTAGACCTAAAACCATAAAAACCCTAGAAGAAAACCTAGGCAATACCATTCAGGACATAGGCATGGGCAAGGACTTCATGTCTAAAACACCAAAAGCAATGGCAACAAAAGCCAAAATTGACAAATGGGATCTAATTAAAGAGCTTCTGCACAGCAAAAGAAACTACCATCAGAGTGAAGAGGCAACCTACAGAATGGGAGAAAATTTTTGCAATCTACTCATCTGACAAAGGGCTAATATCCAGAATCTACAGAGAACTCAAACAAATTTACAAGAAAAACAAGCGTTTTTTTTTGTTGTTGTTGTTGTTGTTGTTGTTGTTTTCATTTGGCAGAATTTATAGCTTTTGGTCTAAAAAAAGGTAGCTTTGGTGGGTGTCTGTGGTTACAAGTCACATGACTACCAGGGTTCGGCAAAGCACTGGGTCAGTTCTTCCTGTATCACAGAAAAAGGAGACTTCACGTTCATCATTTTCTCACTAGACATCCTCACATGTCACATCAACCTGCCTGCAATGAAATTAACCCTCATTACTCAGGGTCTCTTTACCCTGTAAATATATGAATTTTCTATGTTCTACTTTTAAAAATCTGTTCTAATCTTTCTCATGGAAAAAAAAAATCAAACAGTAGAGGGTTAAATTCAAAGATGTTTTGTGCTACCATCTCTTTCACAATAAAAGAGAAGTGATCCATGAGACCTCTGTGTGTGGTCTATTTTTATTCTTTTTCCTGATTGTGACTCGGTGGCCTTATCAGCCAGGTTTGCTTATCTCATAAATTTCCATTTGCCACCCACAATTGGCATAGAGGCAATTGAAAAACAATTTTTATGTTAAATAATTCCAGCCACACTGGGAAGGCATCAAACAAGCATTTGCACTAATGCAGTTATCAATGGCAAACTGATTCCCTAAGCTCTCAAACATTTCATACTCAATCCATCTGCCACAAAACTAACTTTCTCATACCTCTTGGTATTTTTAGAAGTAGTTACAGTAAAGAAGACTATATTTAATTTTAAAGAAGATACTCCAGGCAATTTTGTGCTGCTGGCATTTATACTCTGTGTATCCCCATTCTCTGATTCATTAAATTATCCTTATAAATTTTCTTCTGAAATAGGGATAAACATAAAGTTCAAAAGTCTCAACAAATTTTCATCAGAGACTACCAATAAAATGATCATTTATTACCAATCTAGGTAATATTCTGCTATTGATTTTGGTATAAACATTTCAAATGAGTGATTCTAGCTACAAGTTTTCTAATAAATCAGAACAAGAGAGAACCCTGTGCATTTATGTACTAGTTTTTACCCCAATGGGAATTTTCTTTTTTATGCTTTAAAAGACCATGAAAACAAGTTGAGAGAAGATGGAAGTCATACATCATTCAATATTCAGCATTTACTTTCAGCATGTGATGTCACGGCAGGCCCCTGAATCTCGCGAGGCATATATATTTATAGACACTCACGTGTGAACTATGCCAGGAACAATGCTTTTCATGACTAATATGTAATTGAAGCATCTGTTGTTCCAAATATATTAATGTGTTAGTAAAATTGTCAGTTGTTAGCAATTAAAAAAAAAAATCCAGAATCCTTTTTCGCTCATGTGAATGGCAAACAGCAGCTTGCAAACTCAAAGCCTGGCATTGTTTGTAACAAAGCAAAGAAACACAGCTTAGTTTGCACTTGAAAAACAGAGCTAATAAACGGTCTGTTGGACTGTGCAGAAGTGCATCCACAGGCCTGTGTCCCTAATCAGCATATTCAATAATCCATTATAAGAAATTTCTCTAGTAAAGAATTATTTCTAGTTTCTTCTCTGAGAGCCATCATAATATCACTTGTAAAAGAATACAAAGTATCACCATCGGGTAGAAAGAAGATGAACATCCATGAGCAAGGGCAAATATTAAAGTGTGGGAATTTGAGGGAGAATAGAGGAAACATGATATTTACCTGATTTCAGGCCATTATAAAGCAAGCCCCAAACAAGGCACAAAAACAGCATGTCAGTATAGACTGAGGTGTCCCTCTAAATGAGACCCTTGGGATATGAAAGATAATCCTTTTTTTTTTTTCGAGACAGGGTCTTGCTCTGTCATGCAGGCTGGAGTGCAGTGGTGCAATCTCAGCTCACCGCAACCTCCGCTTCCTGTTTCAAGTGATCCTCCCACCTCAGCCTCCCAAGTAACTGTGACTACAGGAATGCGCCACCATGCCCAGCTCATTTTTGTATTTGTTGTAGAGGTGGTGTCTTGCTGTCTTGCCCCGGCTGGTCTCAAACTCCTGGATTCAAGTGATCCTCGGACTTTGGAATCCCAAAGTGCTGGGATGACAGGTGTGAGCCACTGCACCTGGCCTAGGATAATTCTTTCTACCATATAATGTGGATCAGAAATGTTGTGTCTTAAATATTCAGCCTGAATAGCCTGAGTGTGTTTGGTTACAAACTCATTGACGTAGCTCAACTTTCAGGAGTGCCTACTCACTATAGTTTCTGCTACAGAGACTCTCGTTCTGCTACCCATCTTTTTGCAGAGTTACAACAATTATTGTGGCACCCACCAAGGTGGTGTTATAATGTAAGTTGTAGGTTTGCTCTTAGGAAGGTGGCTTTGTACATTGATATTGGTTTCTAATAATAGCAACAATAGTTTTCCTTTACTAAAGTGTGCCAGTTATTTCACAGATATTTTCTCTAAGCTGAAAGCATACATCACATGGTACCCATGTCCCACGGTTGATCAAGAGTAGTGAGATTTTGTATATAAAGCACTTGGTAATGCATCCCTTTAGCATTCAGTATTTGCCAGCTGCTGTTCTTGCTCTTAACTTGATTCAGTGCTACACAATATTTACCCCAATGTATGTACAGAAATTGAATTCCACGCAATGGTGTTATTTCACTGCTGTAGTGTTACAAGTCTGCATATAAGAACATGGCTAAACAATTTTCCTTTAAAACCTATCAGTTTCAGTGTCATTATAAAGAGACAGCTAAAATATTCGATTACCTGAATTAACTGAAGAGCTGGAATGTCAATCGACATATATTTCTCCTGACGTTAGAATACACATGTTTTGGTTATCAATTTTTATTGCTGGCAGGGAGAATTATATAATAATTATGCCAAGCGATAGAAACTATTCTGAGAGTAGGCTTACTCATTACTCATGGTTAAACTAGAAAATATTAATAATAAATAATAAGAGAAAAATGATTAATCTTGCCATATATTAGATTATAAATCATTCATCAAAACTTTTATATAAAAAACTGTTGGCTGGGTATGGTGGCTCACACCTGTAATCCCAGCACTTTGGGAGGCCAAGGCAGGTGGATCACCTGAGGTCAGGAGTTCGAGACCAGCTTGGCCAACATGGTGAAACCCCCATCTCTACTAAAAATACAAAAATTAGCCGGGTGTGGTGGCAGGTGCCTATAATTCCAGCTACTTGGGAGGCTGAGGCAGGAGAATAGTTTGAACCTGGGAGGCAAAGGTTGTAGTGAGCCAAGATCGAGATCATGTCACTGCACTCCAGCCTCGGCAACAGAGCGAGACTCCCTCTCAAACAAACAAACAAAATCTCTTTATATAGACGATAGTAAAAGTTCATTTAAAAACTTCTACTTGATAGTTTTTAAAACTTATTTAATCAAATAAGTTTATCAATCTAATTTATCAAATCTAATTTATCAAAATAAAATATTCTGATGCCTTATCTACCTAGCCCAAAGTGGGCATTAATGATGACTTATACTGAATGATGAGAACAGTGTGCCGAGTACGACGTGCACATTCAGAAGCAGATTCAGTTGCTGGCTGCCAGGAGAGGACTTTCAAAGAGACGGTGTTGATACTTTGTCCCTAGAATGCTCTGTGCATAGTTATTGGGAACACATACATTGTGAAATAAAATAATTGTGAAAAATCGAATGCTTGGCTTTGAAAGAGTACTTTATCACTTAAAAGCTGGTTCCAAACGGTGATGAAGATGACCAACATGCATGATTTAATATGAATAGTATGATTCGCAAGCTAAGTGAGGAAAACCAAATCCGCTTTCTGGGTACAAAGTGAGGGCTTTGGCTTGAAGAGAGCTGCACAAAGATGACCGTGTGTGTTAATCCTGAGCACCGAGAAGAAGGATACCTGCAGGGTGTACCCAGGCTCGCACTGGAAGGAGAGCACGTCGTTCACCATGTACCGATCTCCGATTTTGATGCTGTTGCTGGGGAGGGCTGGTTCTTGGCATGCAGCGAGACCGACAGCTAGAAATGCAAAGAAAAATGCTGGAAGTTATATGATGTAAACAACATTCTTACCATTTGAATAACCAAAGTTTCTTTCTATTGCTCTCCTGTAGAAATGAACAAAGATTTTAATTCTTTCTCTTGTTATTCTACCAAGAAGACTTTGAGTACCTTTAAATCAGAGCTATGAGTTAATTCTTAAAAATTAAATTATCTCATTTTTATTACACAGTGAATCAAGGCTTTGATGTAAATAACAAAATTTGTTACTTCCACATTGAGTATAAAAGATCCCAACTTCGATATATACATATTGTAGAAAGTCTCTTCAAAAGTTGTGTTTTTATGGTGTGTAAAACTCCAGGATATCGTCCTCTTACTTTTGTTTTTCAAGCATACTTAGCAGTCTTTATATATATATAAAAAACCACTTATATGTGAATCTGGGAATTCTGTTCTTCTACAAAAAAAAAAAATGAGAAAAAATATTTTATATTCAATCTCTCTCTCTTTCTCTTAAAGATAACAAAAAGGATCTCATGAACAGTCTGTTCTTCATTAAACAGAAACAATATTTACAGAACCTAAAGCTGTAATCCTGCACTTTCCTAGATGAATTGCATTCAACTAAGACACTCACAGATTTTTTAAAGGCATCATATAGTATTGGAACTCAGCCTAAAGTATCAGATAAAAGGAACTCTAAAACACTGAAACCTCTCTGTGCAAATCCTTATCATAAGAATAAACAAGATATGCAGACATCGTATTTTGTAGAATCAAAAATTGATTTTGGTTTATCAAAAGGTACAAACTTTCCATTATGAGATGAGCAAGTTCTGAGGATCTAAAGTGTGCAGCACTGGATGTTGATGGATATGTTAATTCATTTAATTTAAAAATGCATTTGAAATGGTGCTAAGGACTTGTTGAATATAAATAATTTATTCCATTATTCTAACATATCATGAAGAAATAGTGGAGAAGGGCTTCTCTAGGTAGGCCGGCTTCACATTCTTTATGTGGCCTTGGATTCATATTTGAGTTCTTGTACTTCACACCAACAGGAGTGAACTTATCAGATTACTTAATTGACTCAGACTCTCAGAAAGGAAGCTGGGGTGGAGGAGGTGAGTAGGACTTTAGTTAATCAGAAGCAAAAAAAAAAAAAAAAAAAAAAACCAGCAGGAGAACAGGTCCACGCAGGGGCAGCCACATGCTAGTGGTCCCCAGGCACAGCGAGGACGCAGCTGCCTGCACTGCCCATGGGGCTGATCGCCACGCAGGGCTCTGCCCTTAGGCCAGTCAGTTTTCTCTGCTCCACGCCTGCTCCGTGTCTCACCAGACTTCACTTTCAGGGGGAAAAAAAAAAAAAAAAAAAGGCAGCACAAGTGCAAAGATGAAGTGATTAAGAACTTCAACACCAGCTACCACCAAGCACGAGACCCAGTGTGACTCACGCAGTGTCCACTCAGGAAGCAGCTCTGGGTCATAGCTACAGAGTCAGCACCAAGGCCAAGGGAAATCCTGGGTCATCCCTTCATGGCTGTCACCGTGCCAGACACATTATACTAACTCCAATCCCCACCAGACCCTCATAGACAGGCTCCTTGTGTCTAATATTAAACAAAAGGCAAAGTGAAGTCCTCCTGGCTGCAGAGTTGCACAGGCTGGTGTGTCCATGTATATGAACCTGATATCTCGTGCGTGGTGAGCTAACAGTGCATTTCCTCTACTGCCTTGATGTTGGAGCCTATAAGAGATACGTCCCTCAGTGGCGACCCCAGACCTGCTGAGTTGGAGGCAACACCATTCCAAATCCTTCTCCAGCTTGCTGAGTGTTTCTCCAAATCTGAGAGGGTGAAATGGAGATAGAGAAGTGTCTTCATTTTACAGTACTGGGATTGTTCATTTGAGAATCCCATGCTATGGAATTCAGGTCAGAAGGGAAAACACTGGTACATAAACTAGCTGAGAAATGTCAAGCCACAGAACCCATTGATTCTGTATGGAATGAGTAGGTATGAGGAGTGCCATGAATTTTTACTAAGTTGAAATAGATTTTTCCTTAAATGGCTGTATTTTTAAAAGTATAAAATACCATAAGCATTAAGCAGTAATGTATTTTATTCCTACCACAGATTTTTAAGCCATTGGGGCTTTACATAGAAGATAAAACTGCTAAATATGAAAAAATATATAAAATCACTTAGGCCTTTAACTTGTTTCACTAATGTAAGTCTAAACTCTTTTGTTTTAACTTTAGAATATAGATTACCACATTTGAATCCCATCCTTTCTTTGCTACCACATATTAGCAAGGTCATCTACCATTCATCTCTGAGTTTTTATTTCCCCCTGAAAAAATCTGCACTTAAAATACTAACTATATTTCTAACTACAGTAGAGAATACTAAAAATCTACTTTAGGGTGATACTAAGTCATCATCATTCTGAGATACTTCAAGGACACACCAGGTGTGACACAGAAGGAAGAATATCGATTATGGAAACAGGTTCCAAATATAAAGAAAAAATATTTTGAAATGAAAAGTGAAACATTACAATTCATATTAAAGTCCAGTTACTAAACTTGCATGTTTTACCTATATGATGTGTTTTTATTTATTATATGTCGATTTATATGCAGTTATTATGTATTGATTTATTGTCATTTTTTCCTTTCTTGAATTCTATTCAATTGATCCTCTGGGAAAAAAATTTGCATTTATATCTGGCCATTCAGGAATTATAATTAATTTATAATTATAAATAAATGAATAAAATAAAAACACAAAAAATACCATTTTGACCAGTGTTTAATATGGCCAGACTCAGGAAGCAGTTCTATGCAGAGCACAATATTTGAAATGTAAAAAAAAAAAATCTTTTCTTCTCCCTTTACCAGTGTCACTATACATCTAGTATATGTTAGAAGCTAAGAGTGCAAAGAAATAAATACCTGGTATGTGTAAGAATATTTTTTAGCAATAGTATTTAAAGCTGCTATTATATCCATCCAGAAACGGAGTGACAAAGTGTGTAAGTGATTGATATGATCAGAGCCCAAGTACTTTCCATACGCTGCATTTCGCTCATAAAGATGCACTAATTCGCCTGCAACTAGGAGTAATTCAAGTCACTGTGAGAACAATGTTTTTAAATTTTTTTATCGCTCTGCCACCCAGGCTGGAGTGCAGTGGCGCGATCTCAGCTCACTCAGCGCGATCTCTGACCTGGTGATCTGCCCGCCTCGGCCTCCCGAAAGTGCTGAGAGAACAGTATTTTTTTGTCATGGATCAGGGGAAAACACTGCAGACATTTTCATGTCGGTAAAGGTGTGTCAGATGCAGGGGCAGAAAACAGCTGGGCTTGACAGACAGGCAGAGGTGGGGATGTTAAAATAGGGCAAGAGTGGAACACAGGAGAGCCCTGAGCTTTTTAGGAATGGGGTGAAAGCTTTTGAGAGAAATCAACCAACTACAGAATGGATCCGAAACAGAAAAACCAGAAAGAAGGTGGGGGAATGTAGGCAGTAACATAGAAGACAAGGCTGTGAACCTTCTGACCTTTAGGGGACAGAAGGTCGTCTACTGACGAATTTTTGTTACAGAAAAAAATTAGACTGTTTATATTTATTCCCTGTATTAGTCAAAACGTGAAACAAAGATGATATGATAGAAAGTAGGTAGGGTGGTGCTTGGTAATAAATATGAACTGTATAGAAGGTAAGCTTGAGTCCATACATGTATACATAATTCTTTTTAGATTTTTAAAAAGAATTATGTAGTTTTTAAAAAAAGAATTTAAAAAAGAATTATGTATGATACTTCTTATCATATCATCTTTGTTAGGCCGGGCATGGTAGCTCATGCCTGTAATCCCGGCACTTTGGGAGGCCGAGGCAGGCAGATCACCTGAGGTCAGGTGTTCAAGACCAGACTGACCAACATGGCCCTGAAACCCCGTCTCTACTAAAAATGCAAAAAGTAGCTGGGCGTGGTGGTGTGTGCCTGTAATTCCATCTACTTGGGAGGCTAAGGCAGGAGAATCACTTGAACCCGGGAAGCAGAGGTTGCAGTGAGCCAAGGTCGTACCACTGCACTCCAGCCTGGGCAACAGAGTGAGACTCCATCTCAAAAAAATAAAATAAAAAATAAAAATAAAAGGAGAATGCTAATCAACAAATCTCCCTTTCCTGAAGCGTTTTAGAAGAAAGATGTTTACATTGATTGAAGCTGATCTCTCACATTGTCAAGCCAGTGGTAGCAGTATCATATAAATAATAGGCAAACCTATAGAAATACACATTTATAAGCTATTTATTTAGACACAAAAGATAGGTATCTAGTAAGACATATACAAATAAAAAGAATTATTCTTAAGGCAGACTAGAAAGATGTCATAAAACATAACTATGATAGGAAAATTCTAGATTAATTTTCCAGAAGCAGAGATATCTGGGAAAAAGTAAGCTGTCATATTGTTTAGCAAAATTTTCAAGAGAAATAATTTCTACTTCTTTCAAATCATAGCATACATATGCTTTATACCATAAATGATAATATATCATATGGGAAAAGGCAATGTTTCTTTAAAAGGTGGTTCACAGAGCCGGGCACGGTGGCTCACATCTGTAATCCCAGCATTTTGGGAGGCCAACGCGGGTGGATCACAAAGTCAAAAGTTCCAGAGCAGCCTGGCCAACATGGTGAAATCCCATCTCTACTAAGATCACAAAAATTAGCCAGGCGTGGTGGGGTGTGCATGTAATCCCAGCTACTCGGGAGGCTGAGGCAGGAGAATTGCTTAAACCCAGGAGGTGGAGGTTGGAGTGAGCCGAGATCGCACCACTGCACTCCAGCCTGGGTGGCAGAGCAAGACTCCACCTCGGGGGGCGGGGGGTGGGCGGGGAGGGAAGGGGAAGGTGGTTCACAAACTATTAGGTTGCCTATCACTTTTAATGGCAAAAACTACAATTATTTTTATGCCAACCTAATACATAACTCTGAATTCCC